TGATCTGGGGACCAGAGAGTCAGGCAGACCTGAGTTTAAAAGCTTATTTTGTAAATCACTAATTCCAGGATTCTGGACAGGGTACTTGTCCTCTCTGAGGATATTTCTTCACATGCAAAATCAACTTCATGGGACAATTATGAGGATTAAATGAGTTAATACAGGTAAAGTGTCTACATTATTTTTTACTATTGTTTTGCATCCATAAAAGTGCTTGGATTTTTACTCCACTATACATCACTCATATTAAGTATGTGGTAAACTAAATATCTACACATTTTTCACACAAATGAATAGCAAGTCAGGTCTCCTTTTTGTGCTGCCTTATTTTTGCTTAAACCCAAACACCAGATTCTAGATTTATCCCTCTAACATTTCATCTTGCAGATTTCAAATTAGTATGCAAAGCTGTTGGATAGTTCTGAATTTTGATTGTTTTATACGGTGTTAGTTATGCTCTCCAACTGTTACCTACAAACTTGATAAGCATCCCTAGGCTTCCACCTGACTCACGAATTTAAAAAAACAACCAAACGAATAAGAGATTGAATTGGACAAGGGCTAGAATAAAGCTGGTGACTCCTTCCTGGCTGACAGGAGTCACTAACTCATGTTCTTCAGGTATGAAGACAAGGTCCGTACTCACTCTACAATCCTTTCCTCTAGGAGAGCATCAAATATTTTTGCCAAAAAAGAAATTCCCTACATATGCAATTCTTGCTGAAATTACTAAATGTATAACCCTACGAGATGAGGGGAAGTCCCCATGCTTTTTTTTCTTAATAATCTTCTGTGGTCCCCAGTGATCACTGAATTCAGTTGTAGATGCACAGAACCCATTTACTTTGGTCTCTACAAGCATTTGGCAGGGATCAAGTTCACACTCCTGTTCTGTAATCTAAGTGCTCTGTCCTCTTGCCCTAGGTGGGAATTAGGGCTTCTGCTGGTCTTTGGGCACGTAACCTATTTGTTTTTGCTTTTCTCAAGGCTTAAGAATAGATCCGTGATTATATCTGCAGTTACCTGTACCACGGAGATGGTTGTGTCAGGGTTGCTTTCTGAAAGCCCTTGACCCCTTACCAAGCTCTTTTCTTCCTCTCTCCCCACCCCTACACACCTCACCCAACTCAGAAATCAGTGAGACCTCAGCCACTATCGGGCATGTGGTTATGTAAGCGGCATCAATACCCAGTAGCGCTTCCCAAATGTAGAATCAACTGGAACTTTTCTGATTCTCAACCCTACCCTGGCCTACCGGGATCATCCTATCCAGGCAATTTTTAGTCAGCCAGCAAGCACCTTCTGATATCTGGCTCACAGAAATCACGGGAACACACCACCTGTCTGCCTCTTCTGGGACACGGGAAACCCACAGTCCCACCCACCCATCCTTGAACATGAACCACAGGCTTCCAGGCCCCTTGTCCAAGCATCCAGCACCACGTCCAGTAGATTCTTTTCCCAACTCGCCTTTCCCAAATCCAACCTCCTCTTTACATGCTCATATGCTGTGCTCCATGCTTGGAGGAGGGCATAAACCAGTGCCCTAGAGAGCATGCTGTTTTCTCAAAGTGAACAGCTCTGCCATGTCTTCACAAGCTAGAAAAGGTATTCCATCTGCAAAGATTTCAGTTATTTCTCCTTCAGCCTTTCCATCAGCTTGAAAGGAGAGTCTGGGAGGGCAGAAACCTCCGGCCTCTCTATGAGACACCCTATTCCCTGCCCATGGGGAAGAGAGGAGGGACTGTCTTGGGCACTGATGAATACAGCTGGGGAGCTGCTGCAGGCTTTCTGTCACTCCTTGGACAGGAAGTCCTCAGAGCTGCAGCTGCTGGCCACACCCCACAGTGCTGTGCATGCATGTGGATGGTCCAGGTATAGTTATGTGCACACAGTCTTCCCAGACATAACTGATCTTTCTGTCTCCTGCAGTGGGACCCAGAGTGGGGACGAACAAACCACCAACCAGGACACTTGGAATCAGTCCTCACCCGATTTGCCCCTGCTCCACCAGGTACCCTGAGCCTCCTCAAGATGGTAAAAGCATGGGCTCTATAGCCAGACTTAACTGCCACATAGGAGCCGCGTGACCTGGGGAAGTCGCTTAATCTTCCTAGGTTAATGCCAATCTACTAAGCAGTTGCCAAGGTGAGATGAGTTGAAGTGAGCTACCAGAATAAAGCTCCCGATTTGTGCTAAAGAGAGGCCTTTCATAACTAAATACTCCTCCCCCTTCCCTGTCTTAGGCCAGACACGTTCTCCATCAGAGCCAGGAGTGTTCTCTTCTGCTGTAAGTGTGCTGAGCCTTCCCCCAGCTCTCCAGTCCTTCGGCTGTGATTCTCCAACAGTAATAGCTTAGGTCAGAGTGATGGATGTGCACGGGAGAAAAGCACTAATGCAGCTCAATGCATGAGACTATGAATTTAGGGAACCAGGTAGCAAAGAGGTGCCAGGTTTCAGGGACTAGATAAAAAGAACAGTTATGAATAGGGGAAAGGACACGTATAAGAGGTGAGCTGAATTAAAAAGAAGACAGACTTCTAAAGCAGCCAAGGGTCCTGGCTCTGGTCCACCCTGAGTGCTGGGGACAGCAACTGTGCAGCTTGTCAGCACTGTGTGCTTAGCTGTCCCCACTGGCTGCTGCAGGGCCACTATTGCTGCAGACTGTGTCCTGGTTCTCTGTGGAGCCTGGGAACTAGGGAAGCCTCCTTCTGTTGGTCTTAGAGGTGAGAGAGTCCCCCAAAAGGGCCCCTAAGTATTGTGGAAGAGAACTTGCGTGCATCCAGGTGCCATGTGCTGGGCCGGCAAAGCCTACCCCTCCAGAGCAGGATGGCCAGAAGTCAGGTGGAAGTGGCCCAAAAGGCACCAAGCTGCATCTGCATTTCATGCTTGGGGACCCTCAGTACCCTGACCGAAGAGTGGTGAGGCTTAGCTTGCCTAACTTTAAAGAGGGGGGTCCTTCTTAGGGCACCCTATTCTCACCTTAGGGCATCCAAAACGGCATTCCTCCTTTTGAACCTAGTTTTGCAGCCTCTGCATTCAGTCTGACATGGTCATCTCTAAATGTTTCATCAAAAGAGGTTACAGGATGCTAAATCTGAAATGGGCTTCACAATGGCTGTTTAAAAAAATTTTTTTTTAATGTTTTATTTATTTTTGAGAGAGAAAGAGAGATAGACAGACAGAGAATTAGTGGGGGAGGGGCAGAGACAGAGGGAGACAGAATTCAAAGCAGGCTCCAGGCTCTGAGCTGTTAGCACAGAGCCCGACACAGGGCTCCAACCCATGAAATGTGAGATCATGACCTGAGCCGAAGTTGGCTGTTTAACCAACCCAGCCACCCAGGTGCCCCCACAGTGGCTTTTAATATGGCAGAGAGTCAACCCAGAGCCGGTGGCTGGTGTGTCAGTATCAAAATCCAGAGGCAGAGGCAGAGAAGCAGGGAAATGGAGAAAGCCTTTCCAGTAATTCTGACGTGCCGTGGGCATCTTCATTTGAGAATTAGAGATAAATGGAAGTCTTTGTTTTTCATCTGGGGAAGTGAAGGCTCTGCCCAGAAGGGCAAATGCACAGGTCAAAATGGGTAAACACATCTGTAGATTTTGCAGTGAGGCACTGAGTCAGGACATAGGGAAAGAAAGAGAACATAGTAAGGTTTCTCTGAAAGCAGTTACAACTGGGTGAAATGGAGGCCCACAGCAGCCTGGACAGAGAAAGGAAGGGGAGTATATGGGATTCTGAGTGTTGTAGGAACTTTGCCGGTAGCCTTAGAAGGGACCACTCTCCCAATCCCCACCCCCCCACATTTGTGCTGCTGCTTGGAGGCTGCCCTGGTTCTCTGTGGGCAAGTCTCAGTGTCTCTGAGCCCACTCTGAGCTGTCACCTCCCTCCCAGCTATGATTGCCTGGGAATAGCAGCCAGCTACCAGGGGCCTGGTCCTCTACAAACCCTTGGCAGTTTCTTGGTCTTGGGTTGAAAGACTCCAGAGAACAAAGCCATATCTGCAGGGCGGCCTTTGTACAGTCCCAGTTAGCACTGGCTGTGCCGGAAGGCAAACGCCTCTGAGCTGCTGGGCGAAGGTCCTGGCCTCACTTTTCTGCCTTGGGTTTAGAGAAGGGAGGAGTTTGGTCCATGAAAAATTTTGCCCACTGAAGGCATGCTGAGTGTGTGTGTGTATGTGTGTGCGCGCGCGCGCGCGCGCACGACAGGGCACAGTGCAGAGTACTGGGATGGGTTTCTGGTGGGGCATCTGTGGAATTTAAAAGGAGTTCTTTAGCAAGACAACATGTCCCGAGGATCAAAGTTTTCTGGAGGTAGAGAGGTGGCCTAAGTGACCTTTTTTAAGATTCTGCAATGTTGCAATTACACAGATAAAAGAATAGTTTTGGCTAGGACTTTACACTGTACATTGGTAAGGAGAAATTTTAGTTATAAAAATACTACGTATACATTGTTTTAAAAAAAAGAGATGGGTACGATAATGAGTGAGAAAAACTTTCAAAGGCACTGTTTAAAAGAAAACACTTGGGAGATATCCCAACACTCTGGCCTCTTGGGCTCTGCTATCTTTTTAATTCCCTACATTCATGTTCTCTGGCTTATCTGTGAATTTGGTTAACACATTCCCCAGCCGCTCAATTGGATAAGATAAGGCAGAAGATGTTAATAGAGAACCCTCCATCTTTTCCCACTGAGTCTGATTTCAGGATTCATTGACTTGCTAAACCCAATCTTCACCCCCCCCCCAACATTCTGTGTCCTATACGGGCTTATCAATGTGGAAGATAATCTACCCACCAGATGTCCAATGAGTGCCCACAGTGGGCAGAGTGCAGATGGGGCGGGCAGCCTGTGGCCCTGGAGACCTGCAGAGAGAGGACGCTTCTGGGGCACTGGGGACCGGAAGGGGGCTTGTCGTTGGGACTGGCTGGTCTGGCTGTCAGGAGCACTCGAAGCACTCACCTGCTCTACCAGGCAGCGGGCATGTGCTTTCTACTCACCTCTGCCAGTGCTGTAATGCTGCAGCTTATCGCTGTACACAGCCTCTTTGCTGTAAGCCCGTTTCCTGTGGATGCGAGGAAGAGGAGCCCTTTTAGGTGGAGTGCACCCCCACTGCTCTGCTCCAGGAGCATCCCCCCACCCCAGTTCCTTTGTCTCAATGGGGGCTCTCTTGGCCATCTCCTGGGACTGGGAACTGGGCTGCTCCCACTTTAACATTTAGCTCCTATCCTGCGTCCTGGCCTGACCACCTCCATGGGCAGCTGGGTCTGCTTTCAAGTCAAGGTTCTTCAGAGACCAGGCAGGGCCGTGGGTCCCCGTCAGAGCCTGGGGAGAGGTTCTCAGGACACCCATCAATATGCGGGCTGTACCGCGGACCTGCTCTGGAAAAGCAAACCACAGTGCTTTCCGCAGCAGAATCTGAGCTAAACCCCAAAGGCAGTAGCAACAGTATTAAAAAGTCGCCAGGTCTCAGGGCCCGCCCTTGTGCAGAACTTGGAGTTCCTGTTTTCCTCCTCAGCTCCCCTCCTGCCTGCCCACCTTGTGCCCTCTGCTGAAGGCCTTGGCTCTCTGACCCCAGGATGGGCTGTGGTACACGGTGTGATGCTAACCACCACTCTGATGGTGAGGAGGACTCAAAGAAGGTTTGAAGATGGATGCTGTTTACCCATCACCTTGCCCAGTGCTTATGGAGGATTTTATCCCAGGACAGAGAAAACAAAACATCTGGCAAATTCTAGGCTGCCTGTAGATTGAGATGGGAGGAGGACCATGAGCTTGACAGCATGGCTGTGTATGGTCAGGCCCCATACAGTCTGCGTGGCCTGGGAGGGGCCTGCATGCAGAAAGGGGCCTCCTGGGTCCAAGGTGAGCAGGTGGGAGTGGAAGTAGAGGGCCTACCTGCTGCAGACGATGGAGATGGCCACCAGCGACACCACGAATACAACCCCGGCTGCTGCTGAGCCAGCAATCAGTGGCAGCTGCTCCCTCAGCTCGGATTTGTAGTCATCTAGGTGAAAAAGGGGCATTAGAGTCCTTCCTGTGTGCTCTTTGCATACAGCTGGGACTCAATGCATGACGCTAAAGACATTATAAATATATATGTGTGTGTGTATGTATATACGTATGTATGTATGTATATGGAGACACCAAGTTCCGTGCTTCAGAGCTGGAAGACCAACTAAAACTAAAAATGATCTTCCTAGTGACAAATAAGAACAACTAAAAGCAAATGACAGTAACAATACAAACAAAACAGCAGTGACAGAGAGAAGCTCAGAATTAAATGCTGATGACATGAGTCCCCACAGCAGAGGTGACGCCAATCTACATCCCCTTGTTGGGAAGGTCTCTCAAACGACGGTCAGTCATGCTAGGGATAAGTCTAAGGGAAAGAAGAAAAACCACTGCTGAAGGACCTTTGAAAACACACAGGTGTTGAAACACAGCACAGCATACAGATTCTCTGAGCAGATATTTAAAGGACATCGGCAACTGGGCAGCAGGTGCTACACCAGGAGCTGTGGAGGATGAAGACACACCGGAGAAGTGGCCTGGCGCTCCAAAGTTCCCACTCAAGAAGAACAGCATCAAGGCTTCCGCCGAGGTTAGAACCGTGCTATATTACACAGGTGAAAAGGAAGCCCCTGAGTCACAGAGGTGAACAGAGCTCCTCTAAACCCTGGCTTTACCACATGTGAGCTCTGTGATCTTGGACAAAGTCTTTAGTCTCTTTGACCCTCAGATTCCTTTCTGCTAAAATAAGTAATAATAAATCAAATTATGTGAGGCACCTTTTGCAATGTCTGTATGATCATGGGTGCCCCAAATCCTAATACTCTTTTCCTTAATCCATAGAAAACACTTGGCCTAGCTGGCTATTATTATTATTATTATTATTGTGGTTATTTCCTCACTTGGCATCAAGGAGTGAGGCATATGGAGATCAAGCTTGTAATATGTTCTATTACAACTAGGGTTGCCAGACACACTATTTAAAAGGCTGACCAGTTAAATTTGAATTTCAGATGTACAATAAATAATGTTTTAGTATAAGTATACCCAAACATTGCATGGGAGATACTTAGACTAAAGTATTGTTGGTTCTTTATCTGAAATTCAAGTTTATCCAGCTGTTCTGTATTTTACTTGGTAACCCTAATGACAATAGCCCTTGAAGTGAAGTTCTCCATGTCCTGCATCAGAATCACCTGAGCCTGATAATTAACCATGACTTTTTTTTTCTGGGTTCCTCCTGAGATCTGCTGAATCAGAATCTTTGAGTGACGAGCAGACTATCTCCATATTTACCAAATGTTCCAGGCGATTCTCATGTTCCCCAAAGTTTAGGAATCACCGTTCAACTCTGTGGGGGGAGAAAGAGACTTCCAAAGATAAGGATATTGTTCTCAAGGCCACCCTATAGACATACATTTTATTTTTTTATTTTTTTATTTTATTTTATTTTTTTTACAAATAGTTTATTGTCAAATTAGTTTCTACATAACACTCAGTGCTCATCCCCAAAGTGCCCTCCTCCATGCCCATCCTCCCCTCCCCCCCACATCCATCAGTCCTCAGTTTTTGTCAGCATTCAAGAGTCTCTCATGGTTTGCCTCTCTCCCTTTCCCCCACCATTTCCCCCCTTCTTCTCCTGCTTGTTCCTCCGTCAAGTTCCTCCTAATCCTCCTATACGTGCAAACATATGATATTTGTCCTTCTCTGCCTGACTTATTTCGCTCAGCATAACACCCTCAAGGTCCATCCATGTTGCTACACATGGCCAGATTTCATTGTTTCTCATTGCCTAGTAGTATTCCATGGTATAGATAAACCACATCTTCTTGATCCATTCATCTGTTGATGGACACTTAGGCTCTTTCCATGTTTTAGCTATTGTGGAGAGTGCTGCTATGAACATTGGGGTACATGTGCTCCTATGCCTCAGCGTTTCTGTATCCCTTGGGTAAATTCCTAGCAGTGCTATTGCTGGGTCATAAGGGAGTTCTATTGTTAGTTTCCTGAGGAACCTCCACACTGTTTTCCAGAGGGGCTGCACCAGTTTACATTCCCACCAACAGTGCAGGAGGGTGCCCGTTTCTCCACATCCTCGCCAGCATCTAGAGTTCTCTGATTTGCTCATTTTAGCCACTCTGACTGGCGTGAGGTGGTATCTCAGTGTGGTTTTGATTTGTATTTCCCTGATGAGGAGGGATGCTGAGCATCGTTTCATGTGTCTGTTGGCCATCTGGATGTCCTCTTTGGAGAAGTGTCTGTTCATGTCTTCTGCCCATTTCTTCACTGGGTTGTTTGTTTTTCGGGCGTGGAGTTTGGTGAGTTCCTTATAGATTCTGGATATTAACCCTTTATCTGAAATGTCATTTGCAACTATCTTTTCCCATTCCGTTGGTTGCCTATTAATTTTCTGGGTTGTTTCCTTGGCTGTGCAGAAGCTTTTAATCTTGATGAGGTCCCAACAGTTTATTTTTGCTCTCGATTCCCTTGCTTTTGGGGATGTGTCAAGTAAGAAGTTGCTGCGGTGGAGGTCAAGGAGGTTGTTTCCTGCTTTCTCCTCTAGGGTGTTGATAGTTTCCTGTCTCACGTTCAGGTCCTTTATCCATTTTGAGTTTATTTTTGTGCATGGTGTGAGAAAATGATCTAGTTTCATTCTTCTGCATGTTGCTGTCCAGTTCTCCCAACACCATCTGTTAAAAAGGCTGTCTTTTTTCCATTGGATATTCTTTCCTGCTTTGTCAAAGATCAGTTGGCTGTATATTTTTGGGTCCACTTCTGAGTTCTCAATTCTGTTCCATTGGTCTATGTGTCTGTTTTTGTGCCAATACCATACTGTCTTGAGGATGACAGCTTTGTAGTAGAGGCTGAAGTCTGGGATGGTGATCCCTCCCGTTTTGGTTTTATTTTTCAGTATTACTTTGGCTATTCGGGGTCTTCTGTGGTTCCATACAAATTTTTGGATAGTTTGTTCTAGTTTTGAGAAGTATGCTGGTGCAATTTTGATTGGAATTGCATTGAATGTGTAGAGTGCTTTAGGTAGTAATGACATCTTAACTATATTTATTCTTCCTATCCATGAGCATGGAATGTTTTTCCATTTCTTTGTGTCTTCTTCAATTTCCTTCATAAGTTTTCTATAGTTTTCATCATACAGATCTCTTGTATCCTTGGTTAGGTTTATTCCGAGGTATTTTATGGTTTTTTGTGCAATTGTGAATGGGATCAGTTTCTTGATTTCTCTTTCTGTTGCTTCATTATTGGTGTATAAAAATGCAACCGATTTCTGTACGTTGATTTTGTACCCTGCAACTTGGCTGAATTCTTGGATCAGTTCTAGTAGGCTTCTGGTGGAGTCTGTCGGGTTTTCTATGTAGAGTATCATGTCATCTGCGAAGAGTGAAAGTTTGACTTCCTCTATGCCAATTCTGATGCCTTTGATTTCCTTTTGTTGTCTGATGGCTGATGCTAGGACTTCCAGCACTATGTTAAACAACAGTGGTGAGAGTGGACATCCCTGTCGTGTTCCTGATCTCAGGGGGAAAGCTCTCAGTTTTTCCCCATTGAGGATGATGTTCACTGAAGGCTTCTCATAGATGGCTTTGATGATGTTTAAGTAGGTTCCTTCTATCCCAACTTTCTCGAGAGTCTTTATTAAGAAGGGATGCTGTATTTTGTCAAATGCTTTTTCTGCATCTATTGACAGGATCATATGGTTTTTATCTTTTCTTTTATTGATATGATGGATCACATTGATTGATTTGCGAATGTTGAACCAGCCCTGTAACCCAGGAATGAATCCCACTTGATCTTGGTGGATGATTCTTTTGATATGCTGCTGGATTCGATTTGCAAGGATCTTGTTGAGAATTTTTGCATCCGTATTCATCAAGGATATTGGCCTATAGTTCTCTTTTTTTGTTGGATCTCTGTCTGGCTTGGGAATCAGAGTGATGCTGGCTTCATAAAATGATTCCGGGAGTTTTCCTTCGACTTCTATTTTTTGGAATAGCTTGAGAAGAATTGGGATTAATTCTGTTTTAAATGTCTGGTAGAATTCCCCAGGGAAACCATCAGGTCCAGGGCTCTTATTTGTTTGGAGATTTTTGATCACTGATTCGATTTCTTCACTCGTTATGGGTCTGTTCAGGTTTTCTATTTCTTCCCGTGTGAATTTTGGTAGTGAGTGTGTGTTTAGGAATTTGTCCATATCTTCTAAGTTGTCCAATTTGTTGGCATATAATTTTTCATAGTATTCCCTGATAATTGCTTGTATTTCTGAGGGGTTGGTTGTAATAAGTCCATTTTCATTCATAATTTTGTCTATTTGGGTGCTCTCTCTTTTCTTTTTGATAAGCCTGGCTAGAGGTTTGTCAATTTTGTTTACTTTTTCAAAAAACCAACTCTTGGTTTCATTGATCTGTTCAATTGTTTCTTTGGTCTCTATGTTGTTTATTTCTGCTCTAATTTTTACTATTTCTCTTCTTCTACTGGGTTTAGGGCGTTCTTGTTGCTCTGCCTCTAGCTCCTTTAGGTGAGCTTAGACATACATTTTAAAGACTGAAAGCAGAGTTTCAGTTTCTCTCAGCTTTCAGCTGAGAACTTTCTATAACATGTGTTTTTAAAAAAAATTGGGGGCAGAGAGGGGTGCCTGGGTGGCTCAGTCAGTTGAGCATCCAACCCTTGGTTTCAGCTCAGGTCTTGATCTCACGGGTTGGGAGTTTGAGACCCACACTGGGCTCTGCACTGACTGTGGAGCCCACTTGGGATTCTCTTTCTCTGCCCACCCCCCCGCCCAAGTAAGTGATTAAACTTAAAAAAAATTTTTTTTTTGGCAAAAAATAAAACAAAACAAGGAACCAAAATGACTAGTCCATAAAAAACATCTTTATAACTTAAAAACTTCATAAAGCAATGTGACCTTCAGTCTTTAAAACTGATTTCTAGAGAGTGAGAGACTTCAAGAACCAACATCCTTATCTTTAGAAGTGTCTTCCTTCGCTCACAGAGTTGAAGGATGATTCTCAAACACCGGGGAGCATAAGAATCGCCTGGACTGTTTGATAAACATTCAGATATCCTGCTTTATGAACGGGTTAAAAAACGCATCTAAGTCAAAGGTTAGCACACTGTAGCTAATAGCAGCCCAGGACCATGGTTGCTCTGCCGTTAGGTGGAGGTCAAACCTGCCTAAAGCGTGGTCTTTGACCCTGGGTGGAATCCTATAGGCCCTCCCTGCTCCAATGACCCTATCACTGATCAACCTTCAGCCTCACCTTTGTGCTGAAGATGGCCTGAAGCCTCAGTGAACATAATTACTACCAATGTGCAAACCTCAGTCATTAAGATAAATACTCCTGAATTTGGCCATTTACCAAAACTCTCTTATATCTAGCCCCTCTTGGGTTTATAAAACTTAACTGCCAAATGTAAAAGGAATAGTCTTCTTGGGAGAAATTTGTTACTTCTTGATTTGTCTAGCAGAATTGCCAAGAGACCAGTGCTCAGAGCATTCTGAGTTTTGGGTTTTTAATCCTGTGTACTTCCTGCTGCCACAGTGCCCATAAATCTAGATGGTAAGTGAGGTGCAAAGAGGAGACAGAATCCTTAAGGAACAGGAGACAGCCGGCGTTCTTTTCATTCCGGCAGCATTATTAATCTGAATAAATTGGCTTGCTTTTCACCCCATCTCACCATCTTCAAAACATGAGCGAAGATTCACCTAAAAAGAACTCAAAACGAGCTGCAAACTCCAATCCTATAGAAGCCAGACAACTCACATTAAAGCATCCGGGTACAAATCACTGGGAAGGGGCAAGCACCCCACGGAGGCAGCCACCTCTCAGCTCAGGGGCACGGCCCTCCCCCTACAATGCCCACCAGCAATGGCTTCTTTGCAGTTTTTCACAATAAAATGCATATAATGGTTTGCATATGAAATCCTGTGATTTTAAATGTTTCTGGTGAATTTTCAAATTGTTAAAAATTATAATGTGAGTCAATATAAAACCTCAAGTCCTATTATGTGCCTAGTCAGAGAGTGCCAACCTAAAATAAAATGTTACGTAAGGGCAGATTGTTTTGGATATAATTTAAGTAATAAGCAAAAAATTAAAGGCTTTCAGTTGAGGGCATTGAGAAGAGACTGGTATTTGGAAAATGATAAGGCAACAGCTCACAAATGAATAAATAAAACAGATAGTGAGTAGATAAATGAAAGCATATGCCGTGGTAAACGGCTGGCTAAGAAAAAGAGTGAGGGAACACAGTCAGATACCCCATGCTCAGTGCTCAGGCTATAGGGAAATCAGGTTTTCATAACCATTTAAAAGCCTGGTTTCAGAGGACTGGAAGAGACTGTCACAGTGGGGAACTAACAAAGCCCAAAGATGGAAGTATGTTGGGTGACAGGCTTTCTGGCCTGGGGAATGGTTTAGAAGACAGCATCTGTGTGTTATCACTGGAGATATATGACGAGAATCACATGTGAGAGTGTTTCAAATAGGCTGAGACACTGGGCACATGGGACTGCTGCATCCCCAAATTTGCCCCTCCGTGTCCTTCCTGGAGACCTTATCTTGTGCACTTGGGTTGTGAGCTCAGCTCCCAGTCACCCAGAACGGAGGGGTGAAGTGGGAGTGAGTGCAAAACAACGGCAGCATCTGGTCCCTGGTCCTGAGGCAGGAGGGCACATGAGCCCTGAGGTGCGTGTGGGTCTCATGGCGGCACCTCTCTGCATGTGGTACAGAGACCCACTGAAGGCAAACCCCAGCGATGTTAGGAGAGAAACAGGCCAGACTTGAGAAGGGTGCCCTGCCTTGTGAATGATGCAAGAGCACATGCTCCCACGCCCTCCCCAAGGCAAAGCCTTCCAAGGGGATCACACTGGAATCCAGTGAGAGGCTGGCACTTGGCAGCTTCTCGGGGCCGCCTCCCCTCCCCCAAGTGCTGGCCCTGTACCACTGCACTGGCCTGCCTCTTACCATCCGTCAGCGTCTGGAAGCACATCTTGCCACTGAACTTGCCGTAGCCCGCCACCGTGCGGGCACGTACTTGCACCACGTACACCATGCCCGGCCGTAGGCCGTCAATCCGCGCCGTGTTCGTCTGGCTCCTGGCCATGGAGGAGTTGAACTCATTGTGTTCCTGAAAGAGAGTGAGGAGAACGGTCTGCGGTCTCCTCCTGGGGGCTGAGCCCCCACCTGCTCCACCCTAGAGCACACATCTTGGTCCTACACATCTGCTAGAAGCTGCCACAGGCCCCAGGCCCTCCCTCTGAATGGGGGACAGTCTGGCCTGGACCAAGGGAATGAATGAAGGATCAGCTCCGTGTCCTGAGGTGGCCATGCTCTAAAACGAAGGCTCTGAGCAAGTGGCTAGTATCTCAGGGCTAGGCTGGGGGGCTCATTGTCATCTTCTAGTTGTTCCTCATCCAGGGTTCAGTGCACATTCAGCTCTGCAAAATCCTGTCGTGTCTCTGATGTCAGTAGAAGCAAGCTGGGAAGCATCAGCCCTTTGTTGCACATTTTTTATTTTTTTAAGGTTTATTTATTTTGAGAGAGAGACAGAGAGAGAGATGGGGGGGGGGGACATGAGTGGGGGAAGGGCAGAGAGAGAGGGAGAGAGAGAATCCCAAGCAGGCTTCCCACTGTCAGCACAGAGCCTGGCACAGGGCTCAAACTCATGCACTGTGAGATCATGACCTAAGCTGAAATTGAAAGTCAGACACTTAATTGACTAAGGCACCCAGGTGCCCCCGTCCTTTGTCTCACTTCTGTTGAAGTCTTGTCTTTTCTCTCCTCACTCAGTATCTCCTCACCATGGCTATTCTAGATCACCCCTTAAGCTCCCACAAGTCCTAGTCCTTAGCGGAGTGATTTAGTGTCCACTCTGCTGCAGAGCCTGAGGCCATGCCAAGCCACCTCCCATACCTGCTTCTGTCTTCACTTTGGCCTGTGTCTGTGTCCCAACTTCCAGTTCCCTCTCCACCAGCATCAGGAGGACATGTCCCTTCTTCCTGGAGAACAGACCCTGTCCCTTCTCACATATTCAAGGGTCAGCCCTCCATCCCCATCACTCTCCCTGGCACCTTCTGCCCTGTCTTTTACAGTCTCTGTGTCTCTGTTATCTGCACATGAGTGTCCTCTGGTGCGCACAGATTTTGCTCCTTTTTCTCAGCCTTCTGACTCCCCTGCCCATGCCTGGTGCCCTTAAAGGATGCTTCCTCTCTTTACTGCTAAACTTTTTTTTTTTATTTCTGAGAGAGAGAGAGACAGCGTGAGCAGGGGAGGGGCAGAGAGAGGAGACACAGAATCTGAAATAGGCTCCAGGCTCTGAGCTAGCTGTCAGCACAGAGCCCGATGCAGGGCTCGAACCCACGAACTGTGAGATCATGACCTGAGCTGAAGTCGGACACTTAACCGACTGAGCCACCCAGGCGCCCCTCTTTACTGCTAATCTTATGTAATGTAACATTTGGTTTTTGCCTAGACTTTTGCAGCCTCTTATCTTTTATTCTAGCTACTCCCTCCACCAAATCCAAACTTCTTTTCTAACAGGGTGCCTGGGTGGCTCAGTCAGTTAGGCGTCTGATATTGGCTCAGGTCATGGTCTTAGAGTTAGTGAGTTCGAGCCTACGTGGGGGCTCTGTACTGACAGCATGGAGCTTGGAGCCTGCCTCAAGTTCTGTTTCTCCCTCTCTCTCTGCCCCTCCCCTGCTCATGCTCACATTTTCTCTCCCTCTCTCTCTCAAAAATAAAATAAAATAAAATAAAAAAATCTCTGACCTTCCCTAAAGTTATTATCAGATAAAAACAAAACTCCTAAATCTAGGTTTATTGGGTCTTCATTATGAAGCAATTCCAGTCTCTCACATCCCCCATATTGCCACCTCCCTGTCCCTCTAAAGGCCACACCCCCAGTCCCAGGGCCTTTGCTTAGGTGGTTTTCCCAGAGTCTAAAATGCCTCTCTTCAGTGCTCTTCTGCAACCTGCAGTTTCCTTATGCCTACATCTCTAATGCCCCTTCTTCCCATGGACTCTGTTCATTACTGTCCTTTATCTTTACACCCTCCTTTCAGCTCCCTCATTTACACCAGCCTGGCCTCTGATCATTTTCATGTGTGCATCATGGAGACTGTGGGTTATCTCCAAGTGTGCAGGAACAAAAGTTTCAAATCTGGGCCTGCCCCTGTCTATACCATCAGCCTCAGAGCGAAATGGGGACATTGGTGAAAATGAAGAGCTTAGGTCACTGAGAGGGAAGCCCCCAAGTCCCGTGTGCAGATCTAGGGTTCTGTGATGAGTTCTAGGCACAATGGTTTGAGGGGCATGGTGACAAATGAGGGGAGAGCTGATGGCAAGAGATGTGTAAGCCACATCCTCAGACAAGCAACAGAATTCTGGGGAGTTGGGCCAGAACAAAAGAATACAGTGCAATGATAAAAAAAAAACAAAAAACTGCCATTGTTTTAAAATATGCAAACATCTACCCTGCAAAGGCAGAAGTGACCTGTTGTGCATTCACTCAGTCATTTAGCCAGGCAGCCACATTTATGACATACTACCACGTTCTGGGGGCTACCTACACACAGCTGCAGGGACCAAGGCACGACCCCTCTCCTTGGGGACGCAAAAACTTGTAGGATGGACCAGAAAATACTCAGATACTGACAGCGGTGCTGACTGAGTGACTTGGCAGAAGGCCACTTAGGGGGTTGTGAGGAAAGAGCAGAGGGTCACCCAGCTCGGGCTGGTAAGGCGATCAGGAGGGTGACATTAGTTGAGTCACGAAAAAGGTGAAAGAAATCAGCCACATGGTCAAATGTGGAGAGTGAGAACTGAACAGAACACATGAAAGCAAGGCCCAAAGACATCAGAAGCCTGCAAGCAACTGGGCCTATCTGGAGTGTGGGGACACATTGGGGTGGGGACACATGCTTCGGAAGCACTTTTTAGAAACCACAGGCTAGAGGTCAGCTTGAATAGACAGTTGAAGGTTACATGCTCATCCTCATGAATGGGCTATCCACTGACCCCTGGGAGGGATTGCTATTTGATCTATTTAAAGAGAGGGAGGATCCCCTCACCCCCACCCCCAATCAGGGATCCACCAGAAAGAAGACTGCCCACTATAGAAGGGATATTAGCCAGAAGGTTGGTCATTACTGTCCTAACACACTGGAGATCCAAGACTTGACACTATAAAAATCATCTAATCACCTTGCAAATTAGGACAAAATCCCTTTGCTACAAAATCCGGGTAGCTGGATTCTCCGGTTTTACTGGAATCTGTGGAATTAGGCACTGCTTGAAAGAAGTGAAAGATTGACTACGTGGCTTTCTTACTGAAAACTGTCTTTAAGCATATTAGTATTTGGAATGTGAGGACAAAACATTAACCCATTATCGCTTTAGAGCCCACACATTCTTCAAGAAGTTCAGTGATTAAAATGAGTATTAATCCTTGTTTCCTTTCAAACCCATTAATCAAACTTCAGGCAAATGAGTGAGAGCAAAGAGCAAGGGCTTGCTTTGTTTGTTTGTTTGTTTCATGACTGATTCCGTAAGCATGTGAGAGGTCTGCCGTCCCCAACCTGTAGCCCAGGGCTGGCACCAAACTGCCGGGGTGCTAAAGGGTTCAGTGCTAAATGAATGAATAAACACCACACTTCAGACCAGTTATTGGAACCAATTGATTGAGCACAAGATATTGCCAAGGCCTGAAAGAGTTTCTAGGAGAAAATGATCCTAAAATTTGAAGGGTAGAAATTCCCAAGGCCTAAACCAGCCCATTCTGGCCCAGACAGTTATTATGAAGAGCAAGTGAGCGTCTAAGCGCTTAATCATGAAGACAGCTGAGAGCAGATGTAGATGCCCCTCCCATGGTTCGCCTACAAGCGCTGACACCAGGAGTGAAAAGTGCTACAAGACAGTAAACAAGAGAGGATGATAAATGGAAGCATATGAAAATGGGAAGGAGATGAACATGGAGAGGCTCTGGGAGTGTCATCAGCTCGATGGCATCAGAGGTCTCTATTAATGAGCTGTTGGAGGAGGCGAAAGCCTCATCGATTCTATTTATAGAGCTGAAATCGAAAGGTGTTCCAAGCATAAATCAAGAGGGCTGATGGGGGTGGAGGGGAGGGGAAGGGGGGAGATGGGCATGGAGGAGGGCACCTGTGGGGATGAACACTGGATATTATATGGAAACCAACTTGACAATAAACTATTTTAAAAAAAGAAAAAAAGGGGAAAAAAAAAAATAAGAGGGCGATGTGAGGTAGGAGGCCCAGGGTGAGTTTGCAGGGGTTGGAAAACTACAATCCATGGCTAGCTACCTGTTCTTGTAAACAAAGTCTTATTGGAACCCAATCATGTCCACCTTCTGATATATTGCCTACGGCTGTTTTTCTTCTACAAAGGCAAGTTGAGTAGTTGGGACAGAGACTAAATGGCCACAAACCTAAAATATTTCCTATCTTGTCCTTTATGGAAAAACTCTGTTGACTTCCTGGCTTAGAAGAAGTGGCACAGAACGGAGGAATGAGGGTTTTATTTCTTCGGGGTGAATCCAGGATATCTACTGGGCTGAGTTCTACTGTGTTTGCATTTTCTAAAGACCAGCATTTGCCAGCCTTGTGGAGCAGGTAGGCAGATCATTCTGCTTATAAGCATTTGGATTTAAAATTAAGATACACTCCCTTATTCCACAGGTCACATTAATTTTGAGATCCTCGGCATCAGCATGATTATTATCCAGTTCCTTACTGAACTCAGAAGGTTGTACCACTGAAATATAACAAAAACGTCCAGAGTTTTGATTCTTTGTGGTCATGGCTAAGTCACTTAACCTTTCTGCGACTTAGTTCCATCACTTACAAATTGGTTATATCTGGCTTTCAAGTATCTTTCTTTTCATTTCTTTTCAAGATCAGAGCTAATGTGTCTGTGAATATCTGGCACATAACAAGTACGCAATATATGATGATTTATGACCACTGTGGTTATTTCAAAATACCCTCACGGGGTAATGTCCTTTTCTTTATTTGTATTAGAAACGGTCCAGGCAATGTAACAGATCTTACAGTCAAGCACTTTATAAGTGAAGGAGACTGAATGGTCTAGTAACATAGTGAATGGTAACCAGTGCTTTGGCAAAGAACCTTCTGTGTTTCCAAGGAAAGCATTTTATCCTCTGGAGTGAGGACAATAATATGCTTCACTGAGGTGTGGAAGCTGCCTCAGGCACTGAGCTGCTGTGCATGTGTGTCTGTTAATAATTAGTATAAATTACGGAGAAGTAGGGACGTGGTCTGAAACGGGAGAATAAGCTTCCTTCATGGCATCAAGAGTTGAAGTTAATTACAGTGTTTCAAAAGAGAAGGTTTGCACGTAAAGGGAAAAGTAGCAGAGGAGCTTGGGTGTGGACTGGGGAACCAGGAGCCAGGGGATACAAGCAGGAGCCTGTCACAAAGCCCACACCTATGTTAGGGTGGGTGCCTTTGGCAGGGCAGATGAAGTGGGAGGCCAGTGGCTCCCATGTACGTAGCTGCTCTCCAGAACTGCCACTTGTGACAGTCTCAGTTCCTAGCTATGTGGTCGTGGGCAAGTTTTGTCCTATTTTGAACTACTTTGTGCACTGGCTTCTTTACCCATAGCAATGATACTAATATTTACCACACCGAGTAGTGAGGAGAAAAGTAGATAATGCTTATAAAGCTGCTGGCACCCAAGAGGAGCAGACTAGGGAGAAATTACTATTGTTTTTCTGAAGTGAGCTTATAAGGCTCAAGTTCAAGTGTGTGTGGGAAGGGGCACTGTTAGAGTCTTTCTGTGATTCTGACAATGCATCATATGCTGGCCACACATGACTCTATCAAACTCTTAAGTCAATTCTGATGATGAAATGAGACTGTATGGACAACTGGTCCAGAAAGATTGGTCTAAAACACTGTGGAAAGCCAACATTTACTTTATTAACTGATAAAAAATATCTAGCAAACAAAGGCTCCCAATTCAAAGCTGGTTGGATATAATGGTTGCTTATGAATTCAGATGGTTTAAATTATCCCCAATTCACTGAATTATCTGAATAAACTGTCTACAAAACCCAATATCCTCTAAATGGAATAGAACACTAGCTAATCCTCACCTTGTTTGCAAGTTTGGCCACCAGGCAGAAGGGTGTAGGTCCTCACAGAATGGACTGGTGATCCATCTGGCCCTCCACTTTTAGGGACATAAATTGCTATTATTTCACAAATGTGAAAAATGTGACCCAGAGTGGTTACATAATTTGACCACAGCTGCTCAGCTGGTTAGTTATGGAGGGCACTAGAAACTAGGGCGCTCCTTCCCCAGGCAGTCATGGGCCACTGTTCAACCCTGCCTTCATGCTGGATGACTGTGAGTCTCGGTCCCTGATCCTCCCTCCACTGACCCACTGGAGAGTTCTGCCAGGCTCATTTACATACTGACAGCTTCCAGATTGACTTCTCCGACCCGGCCTCTCTCCTGAGCTCCAGGCAAGGACATCTAGCTGCCTGCACTACTTGGCTACCTCAGAGGTCTTTTAGACATCAAGCTAAACTTCTGTCCCTTCCCTTGCCACAAACATGCTCTACCATAACAAGTCCCCTTTTAAGTCAATGGTGGCTGCATCCTTCTATTGGACACCCTCCCACATCTGAAGTCCAAACTGTTAGAAATGCCGTTGCTCTGTCGTTAGTTTATATATTTAGAATCTACTCTGCTTCGCCCGCCATCTCCTTCCATCCTGATCAAGCCACCATCACTGTTGTTCTAGTTGACTGTAATCTAGCAGGACTGTTTTTAGTGGAACAGCTGAATAGGCCTCTTAAAATGTTCATTTTCTGTCTCCTTCTGTTGGAAAGTAAGCTCTCTGAGGGCAGGAATCTTTGTTTGGATCATTAGTACATCCTGGAATAGTACTTGCCAAATAGCAGGCACTGAATAAATATTTGCTGAACCAAAAAATGAATCTGGTGTCTTTACGAATGATGTGTTGGGTCAGTGTTTTCCTGGGATTTTGCAAGTGCTGCAGTTTAACATGGTGGGAAGGAGGGCCTGCTTCCCCCACAGAGACCAAGGGGAGCAGCTCCACAAGGCACCACCTCCCTACTCCTGGTAGTAGCACCCTGCTGCAGGCCCCAGGAGCAGCTGCTACAGAGCAGTTAGTGGACAGCACACAAATTTCTATTAATTTCTATCTCATCCTTTAAAATTTCCATTTGCATGTCTTTAATTTCTATAAACATACTATTGCAGCAGTACATGCATATGACTTATAAATAAACAAACTTATATTGGAAGAACATGATCAAAAGCTTTAGAGGACACAAGTCTACAAAGCCCACAAAATCTTTGGGAAGTTCAGGGGACACCTGGATCTTTGCAGCATCTATATTAATATAGCAAGCATATGACTGGGAAAAATGGGATTGGTTCTGCCCATACAGGCCCAGTGAGCTGTTTAGACAGCAGGGTGGTAGGCTGGAAGATTCTCTTCTGAGTTGGCACAGGAAGAGTCTGGACTTTGGAGACTTTTGTCAAGGAAGACCTGACGAACTCTCCAAGGAGCCTCTGGCCTCCATCAGCAGATCCCTCCCTCCCTTATAACTTCCTCCAGTCCTCAGATGGTCACCATCCCCTGAACGGTAGCTGGCCCTGGGTCTCGCGAGCTTGGGGACAGAGCTGGCTCACCTTCTCATAGTACCGGATCTCATAATCCAGGATGATGCCATTCGGCTGCTCCGGCTGGGGCCACGACAAGGTGATGCTCCTCATGGTGGCACTGACCTGGTGCATGATGGGAACAGTGGAAGGGGCTGTGGAGAGAGGAAGAGACAGGGAAGATGAACAGATCCTCAAGTATATGAAACACATCGTCTTTCAGAGATAAATGAAGAGAGAAGTGTCTCTGGGTTTGAACCTATCCTTTCTTTCTTCCCAGCTGAGCTGATCTGCAGAACTTCCTCTGGGTTCTGCATAGTGAATGGAGGATGGATAAGAAAGGAGAGAAAAGGTGGTAATTTAGGACAGGAGGACCTAAATGTGTCAGGGCAGGGCTGGAATGGACAAGGTGTTTTCTGGGCAGGGAGGAGAAAGGCTTGACCACAAAGAGACGAGATGGTTGGAGGAATCACATGAAAGCACTGTGGCCTGGGGAAGCCACAGCCAGTTAGGGAGGGCATGACAACCAGTGGGACAGGAAGCACAATGGGATGTTTTTGAGCAGAAGGTTTTGAAGGAATCTCAGTCTTGCATTAATGGGCTAAACTCCTGTAGAGAAGAGAACCTGGAGGCAAGGGATGGTAATGAGAGGCTAGAACTGGTCAGTACAGAATTACTGCCATAGAAAGAACGTTCTAGCAAATGTCTCTTTCTGAAACTGCATGTAAGATTTTGCTGCATTTCAAAAGAAAGAGAGGGGGCAGCTCTCAAAAAGACACGAACACAGACTACCAACTGAGTTCATTCAGACTTCTGTCGGAGTTTTCCAAATGAGGACATTGGCAATAAAGAGCTCACAAATATAAATGAAGAAATGATATACAAACCAAACATTTGGAAACATGATAATAACTCCAAAATCTGTGAAGTGATTCCAAAATCTCTGTTAGGAAATAATATTATTTATTTCTCAATTCAACATTTTTCACACGGTGTAAATAAAATGAAAACAGTCTGGAAATAATAAATGAGGGCTGTCTTTCTAGAGAAGAGGCGGATAATGGATGAGGCTTCAGTCTGCGCTCTGCTTAGGGGCTGTTCCGTTTAGTTCTGGCACTTCTGCAGCGACGAAGGTCATTTCCTCATGTGAACTCCACTTTACAAGGGGTTCTCTGGGGGACTGTGGTGGGCTGACATTTACTATCCTCACTTTAAGTTAATTCCCCTCCAGAACACGGCTACCGGTCTGGGGATGGGGGATCACCATGCTCTCTACTCACTATGCTCTCAGTGAGTTCTCAGGGAGCTGGCCCCCAGGCCAGGGGAGGGGCTGCAGAGCACTTGTGAAGATGCCCACAGTCCAGGGAGCCATCAGAGAGCACAGTGTGAGAAGTGGTGTTAGGAGGGCTTAGAATCAGAGGCCCCGCAGGGTTCCCACTGGGGACCTTGGGGTGGCCCTGAAAAGGTGCCTCTCAGGGCTCCCACCCCTGGGAGCATAGCTGACTCTTGGCCCTGGCTGCTGCGCCCTGAAACCAGAACCACATCCATGCAGGGCCCCATGTCCCACGGGCTGCTTCCAGCCAATGACTGAAAGCAGTAAGGATACTTTGATAATCCCATTCCTGACTCCTCTGCTGGGCAGTTTTCACTCAAAGACTCCCCACTGGACCCACCAACGTCTCTTTGTACAGCGTGGCAGTCTAAGGGTCTCCTCACCTAATCCTCCTTACTACCCTCCCTCCTTCACTGTGATCTGATGGCTCTGCCGGCCTCCTCTGGCCTCCCCTACCACCTCCCCAGTCAATCTCTCACCTCCAATCCCATCTTGGCGTCTGCCTCATGGAGGGCCTGACTTAATGCAGTTCTGAATCCCCCTATCAAGTATTCTCTGCTGGGCCCCACTGCATCCCCAGGGACTGGCCGCTCACTACCTCTAGGAGCTGTGGCTTCATCCTTGGGTAGCTCTCACTGATTTGCATGTCTTCCTCTGCCTATCTGAAATTCGTATCCTTCTCACTGATCTCAGTTCCACCGACTGAAGTAACAGAGAATGTTCTCTTTTCCACCGAATGGCTTGTCAAATAGCTAAAGAAGCTAGTTAGGGCTCCCCCGAGTTTTTCCTGCTGAAAAGAACAGCCAGATCCTATGAACATTTCTCCCATGACATGCTGCCCCCTGAGGTGGCTCTTTTCCAAACGGGGCTCATGTTGTCTAAATCTCTCTTTAGTCATATGGCCCAGAGGTAAATCCAATTCTTTCACTGCTGTCTATGCAGCAAAGATTAGGGTGAAACTAGTATCTTCCACGATCTGTGTACCAGATATCAGTTAAGGTGACCATTAGCCTTTTTTTTGGGGGGGGGGGATCAAAAACATGTCCCTGCCATTTGATTCTGAAATCACTATCAAATATAACCTTTAGGTTTCCTCATGGTGTGTTCCTCAACTTTTGTTTGTAGTTTGTCAGTTTGACTACACGGGTTTATACATATGCTTTTACCTTTATGGAGTAACATTTGGCCTATTAATCTAGTAAGCTGAAATACTTTTTGATCCCAACTCAACCATCAACCACACCTTCTCTTCCTCCTAACTTAGCATCATGGCACAGGTCCGTTAATGAACGAATTAAACAAATGTTCACTGGGCCTTGGCCACGTGCCAGTCACCACTCTAGGTTCTAGAGGTCCTTAGTGAGTGAAATACAATCTTCTGCCCTCACAGAGTTTCTTCTCTAGTGGGGGAGGGGGGTGGTCAAAGGCCAGATGTGATCAATCACAAGGTATGTTAAAATATTAAGTACAACAAGAACAAATGAGCAGGGGGGAAGGGACACAGAATTGTCCAAACGGAGGAAGCTCTATGGGAGAAGCCTGCCATTCTAAATTATGAGGTCAGCAAGGCCTTGCTTGAGAAGTAGATGCAGCAGCACGGGGATGGAGGAGGGGAGAGGGCCATGTAGGCACCTGGGAAAAGAGCATTTGAGAAGGAAAGGCCAGGGTAAAGGTCTAAACTGGGAGCAGCCTGTTGTTTCAGAGGAATAGCTAAGAGCCGGTGGGACTAGAGCAGAGATGAGGCCACAGATGATGGCTTCTCCCCTGAGTGAGGAGAGCCATGGGAGGGGGGCAAACAGAGGAGTGACGTAATCTGACTTGCATGTTAACAGCATCGGGTGATGCTGAAAATAGAATGCAGGGGCCACACAAAAGCTGAAAGCCCCATCTTAACACTGTTGTCATAGTCCAGCTGCAAGACTGTGGTTACCTGGACCGGGTTCGGAGCAGTGGAGGTGGTGATAATGGGGGTGGTCAGATGCCGAAAAGATTTAGAACATCTCAATGGATGTGGGATGTGGAAGAAAGAGAAGAGCCAAGATGACTCCAAGGTTTTTGGCCTGAGCTGCTATCAGCTGAGATGTGGCAAGGCATCAGCAGGAGCGGTCAAAGTAGGCAAATGCATGTATAAGAGGTCCTTACTGGAGATGCCAGTGTAGATCCACTGGTCTGTCAGAGATACCAAGAGCAGCAGAACTAACAGAGATCATCACGAGAATCAGGAGAAGGGAATATATCATCTAAGGTTCAGGAGAGGAGGAAAAACAGCCAAGGGACTTGAGAAGGAAAGGCCAATGAGCTAGAAGGAAGCAGGGGAGTGTGAATACCTAGAAGTCAAGTGACAGTGAGTGTCTCTAGGAGGAGAGGATGTGTGGAGTGCTGCTGCTAAGTCACGTAAAAGGAAACCAGGAACTGAGCACAGAGTTAGCAACAGGCTGGATGGGTAAGTGGGGATGGCTCATGGCCAGCATTCCCAACCTTGCACGCACTGTGCAGAGCCCCAGAGAGGAGGAAGGTGGGGCAGTTTCTGGAGTCAGGGCAGGGGGGTGGATCCTGGTGGGCTCACCAACACAGATGGTCCAGGAAAACCTGCTTCCCACCCTACTACACTTACTGTGCAGCTCCAGCTGCCCTTTCGGGCTCACATGGAAACATGACTTCTATACTGCCAACCCTGTCAGCACCATATTGGTTTTTAGGATCCTCCTCTGCCCCAAGAGCTAAAACACCATGGATTAAAAATTGGAAAGATTAACCCTAATGACTTGACAATTTTGATGGATGTGGTTCTTTTTTTTTGCCTCTAATCCCTGGAAAACCATCGTTCAAGACTCAACATATTTGCCAAACATTGTGCCAGGCCCTTGCTCTAATCACTGGGGACAGAAGGATAAATAATAAAAAGCCACAGCCCTCCCCTGAATATCCTTGGCATGTAGCTGGAGTCAGGTGATAAAGAGGCAATCATAGAGCAGGGTGATCCAGAAGCGATCCAGAGCCACAGATAGCAAGGACCTCCCAGCCGCCAATCAGCACATGGATCCGGGAGAAGCTGCCAGAGGGTAAGGGTCACCGCTGCCTACACTGCTCAGATTTACGGTGATGACAGATGTTCACAGGCCCCCTTGCAGGCTGTTCATCTTCCCACGGGTCACTCTAAATGTCTTCCATTTTAATTGAGATGGGATTTAGCACATGGGAGAGATAAACAGAGTATTACACTTCCTCCCTGAAAGTCCAAGACAGCTTACATTTGGTGGTCTGACACTGGTGATCACCTACAGCGACAAACTTTTTTTCCTCCTTCTCCAAGTGCAAACGCCACCTCTAAATGTGGTGTTCTGCATGCTATAAAAGCTTCCAACAAAACTGAAAATGAAAATGAGTGCAGATATCCACTCAAACACCACCTAGGAAAACTAAGTCAGATTTGAGAGGGGTGGGAAGGTTAATGCCAAGCAGCAGCCCCTCAGAACCCTGAATATCCTGGTTTCAACAGTAAGTCCTTTCTTTTCTCCATAAACCTATGTTCTCAGATGAAGAAAGTTTCACTGAATGCTTGAAAAGGTCTCTGCATCACAAGAATGCTCTTCACTAAATTAAATACTCTATGCAGAGAAGAAAATGAAAATAAAGAGTTCAGGGGCGCCTGGGTGGCTTAGTCGGTTAAGCGTCCGACTTTCGCTTAGGTCATGATCTCGCGGTTCGTGGGTTCGAGCCCCACGCCGGGCCCTGTGCTGACTGCCAGCTCGGAGCCTGGAGCTTGTTTCAGTCTGTGACTCCCTCTCTCTCTGACCCTCCCCTGCTCACGCTGTCTCTCTC